ACATGCAATTGAAATTGAATTGATTATCATGAGCACAGTGCTAATTTTGGTTGAAATACATCCATCTCGCCACTTATTCAAGAACAGAGCAGCTGGAGAAACAGTGAATGAAAAAACCTACAAGGCAGTTATTTTTGAAGGACTATGCATACTACTGGGCAGACAGTGATGGCAAACTGTGTCAGAACATTCCTGGACTGTCCGAGATGACTGTGTGGTAACGTAGACATTTTCACACACAACTTGGCAACGGCACCAGCCAGATTTTATACTTATGAAAAACCATCTTTTGATTGGGCACTTGCCAAATTGTGGGCTAAAAGGTCTAAAGGTAATTAACTACTGTACTGCACTTGCCTACTTGGAAATTTAAATAAGACTATAAATAAGTTTAGTAGGCCTAAGTCTTAGCGATATCACAGAGTATTTTGTAAACTAAACCAATCTCATAAAGTTAAAGAAGATTCCTAGAAACATACAGATGTAATGAGCCGAGTATGTAGATCATACTTGTTTTTAGTAAAAAAAACACACACCAAAAAAGGAAGAAAAGAAAAAGGAAAAAAGAAATTACAGAGAGAGTGATCTATGGAAATGTCCCACTACTTTCCTACTTTTTCAGCTTTTTATACTTCACATACAGGAGATCAGATTTTTTACACCCTGGAGACAATCATGTGGTGTAGATATATGATCGATAGACATTATCAACATCAACAAACTTTTATCATAACAACAGTCCCAAATGATTGCAATTCTCATCTGGCTAGAATCATCTTAAAACTATCTCAAACACAGAAATATATGTGTAACAAATTTAAAAAATAACATTTGTCATAGGGTCTCTGATAAATTACCTATTTAAGAAGTCAACCATGTGCATTGAAATATTTCTAAGAGAAAGAACAGATACATAGAATAATATGTAAGCAACATGTTTAAAAAGAATAAAAATCTAAAAGAAATTCCACAGTAGTTTAAAAATTTACCTTTATTGAGATTCAGGATTGCCACTGTAGAAGTGGAATACACAAGTTGTAAAAGTTGTCGAGACCAGTTGGAAAGTCTTTTGTAGAATGCCACGATATCAATTTTCTGGTCATTGAAGCCCGGCCTGTAAGGTGAGGATCCTGTGACATAAAAATTGGAGCATTAGATTCAATAAGTAAACACGAGTGAACATCCAAAATGTGACAAACAAACCAAAATTAGTAGATGATCATCTTTGTAAGTTCCAATGACACATTTTGCTGCAGCATCAGTTTTGCCACCCATCATTACTGGACAACCTCCTTCTTGAAAATGTTGAGAGAGCTTTCCTAATTGAGGCGCCCAATCACAATTCCCAGTCACATGAAGTATACGAAAATCCACATTAAACTTATTAAGAACATATCCCACCTGTAGAAATCAACTGTGTTCTCAAAAGTTAACAATTTAAGCAAGTAACATTAAATATCGAAGTGTTACCTCAATGCTACCAATCCATTCACGTGAACAATAAAAATTTTCTGGCTTATCTCCAATATCTACGAGGATTTTCTGGATCTCAGGAATACTTGGAACGGAAGATTGGGAATACTCTTTGTTCTGACTTCGTAAAATCCATGAGCATATAGTTTGGAGAGTTCTGTAGCCGCAGCCCCAACCCTAAAAATGCCAACGTAATTTACTAGTTGTAAAATCCTAATAAATAAAACAGGAAAATTAATAAAAACTCAACAGCTTACCACATCATTAAAGCCATCACAGTTGTAATGAAAGTAATCATAAACGCCTTTTACTATTACAGCGTCTTCTTGTTTTCCACCATTATCAGGTAGCGGCGTTCCAACATGTGGATTGGACATCAGAGATCCCAGGTAAGACATGTCAACACCACCACTTTTGACTTTTGGCTACACCTTTTCTCGCTCAAGATATACCTATCTCAGTTTTTTTGTTTTGGTTTATTTGGTGATGTGTCTGTTTACATTTCGGTTTTTGTCGTCTGCTACGCTCCAGTGTGCCGGTTGCCGGAGGTCACCTCGAAGAACAAAACATCTCTCACGACGACGTAGTCTAAACTCACTCTGAAACTTTCTGCAGTATCTTAGACACAGCTTTGCGATATTTTTTTGTTTCACCAGGTTTGCCGTCGCCTTAACTTTTTATGATCACATATGTAGGCTCTGAAGCAAAGGTAGACAGACACTAAGGGCAAACATGACACGATGGACTGGCAGCCTGTTTCAGCGCAGCTTATGAACCTTGGCGGGTAAGGTCCGCAGACAACAAGCTTGAGAAAAGCAAGCAACAGGCAAACGAAAAACAAGTTGCTTCCATAAGCTGCGCTGACTCCACCCGGTCTCTAGATTTCTTTTGGAAGGTCTAAAGGATGATGCCAAAGGATCTTATAGGAGTTTAAAAATCAAGTCACATAAAATAAAATTAGAAATACTATTTAATTGCTGAATTCTGTCCAGTCAATATGGTGGATAAGAACTAAATTCATGTCACATGGAAAAGAAACTTAAAAATAAACACTAATTAAATTGAAATAAAAGGCATACAATACATCCATGCATCAAAAACAATTTTAACAAAGTACAGTTTGTCCAGAACTGAAAATATGCCAGTATTTTCGAAAGACTTAAAAATTTTACTATCACTTAATTATTGATACAAGTCAAAACAGCATTACTGATTTGTCACAAGAATGCAGTTGCACAGTAATTAATAGCTAGACTCATGATAAAGTCATTAAAGTCTTTAACAGATATTGGCAACACTAGAAACGTGTCTTAGTTTCACATTTTGAAGTTCCTCCAATGTAATAATTGGTTTTCCTCTGTCCTGCATCATCTCATCGGAATGCATTTTTGGTACCGATTGTCTCCTACGTGGAAGTGTTAGAGACATTGAATGATGAAAAACAGGAGACGGGAATGGTGGCGGAGGGGGAGGAGGCATTGGTGGTGGCGGCGGTGGTACAGAAAATAAACTTTGATCTGATTTCAAAGCTACATCTTTTTCACCTGCAAATTTTTGTGGAAATGAACTTAATTGCTTGGTAAATAAGGTGGAAGAGAAAGCTAAGAAAACTCACCTGATTTTAGTGAGCTGACAGTTGCACGCAACTGGTTGATTTCCAGTTGCAAGTCACTTAGTTTATCCATGATTGCACTTTCCTGCTGCCGCCACTTGCACAACTCATCCCTCTCCAAGCAGTGACAGTTACCTAATAATAACGTTAATAGATAAACATGGCAGTGGTATACCTGATAATACCTCTAAATAAATGTAAGATATTTGTTACATACCATTTGATTGGGTTCGTCCGATACTATTTGTCATCTCTCTGACTTCCTCAGGATTGTCAAATGAGTCAAAAGAGGCCATAAAAACATCTGAATCAGAATCTAATATGTTCCTAGAGCTATCAACAACACAAGACTCCGGAGAAACTTGTAATTCCTCAGCAGCTCTAATGATTGTGCCAGCACTGAACGCCTTATGAAATGTTGGCGTAGTTTGAGTCTGGCCATCACGAACAGTTGACAAAGATTTCTTCAAATGTTTCCTGGATGGAACACAACTTAACCAAAATAGTTTTGTTTTTTTGGCACGTCGTTGAAGTAGTTTCCCAACCGATGAAAAATACTGCAACATCATGGAATTATTACCCACATGTAGACAAGACAAAACACGAAAATCGTGATAATATCACATAATACCGACATAGTTGCTGTCGTCAGTCATTTTCAATCAAATATATGGGCCAATGTGACATATACATCAAAGAAATTAGCTCCTAAGCACACACTGCTCGTTGATTGGTTTGATGATTGATGATACTTCAAAGGACAGACCACTCTTTTTGACTTTGTTTTGATTTGAAACTGCTAGGAGCAATACATTTTCCGGTTCCGTCGATGCCGTCGAGAGGTAAGTTCACGAATTTTTTAAGCGTGGTCGGTCGGTCGGGTTGGTCGGTCAGTCGGCCAGGTCAGACGTGGTCACTTGTCATACCTTGATGATCAATCTTGGTCCCTTCCCTACCCCCTACCCTTCTCTCCCCCCACCTCGCCTCGCCTCCCCTTCACCCCTCCCCTCAGCCTCCGAATGAATGCATGGAAGAACGTCCGGCTATCAATGGGGTCTGGCTATGTTTCATTCTTTGCAAAAGTGGCATTCCAAAATTACAATGTTTAGATAGACTGTTTAGATTTAAATGTGCTGTGGAAATTCAACCATGTAGGGAGTAATATAGAAATAACCGGACCACACTTCTTTAGGGTCATCAGATAAGTCAGAAACTGCTGTTACACACTCAGATATTCTTTTTATTTAAAAGAAAATATGTTTGGTTTTGGCCTCTCTCTATATCAGGTACATTTTGTTCTGCTTAAAAAAAATAAGCCTGCTCTTAAAACTCTTATAGTCTTCACCACAACACACCATACATGACTTCTACCATAATTTCAGACTTGCAAAAGGAGAGCATACACATAAAATACTGTGATTTGGTTCACCACATTAACAAATCTACCTTAAAATATTTAACATATTGTGATTGGCAAAAAAAATAATGATAAAACTGTAAAGTAAATTATGACAATTCATGCTGTTTGTTAACAACTGTTATAAAAATATAAATACAAATTAACAATTGGTAAAATAAAGGAGTACGAAACCTGTTACATTTTTCAAAATATACAGTAAAAAATAGCATTTTCACATAGCCTCAGAAATAGAAAAAACATAGAGCACATTTAAAATTGGCATTTTGATACACTTGCAACAACTCCCTAAATGAAAGTAAGCAAGTAAAGTAGGTAAAATAAAAAATAGTATTTATAAGACACCCTTCTCTTTGCCTCGTTTTAGATGAAGTCTTTATAGGGACATTTGTTAGTGAAGTAATTTCAAGAAACCATAGAAAGTAAGAATGTAATGTCTTGGAGAACATCATTCAAACATTGTACTCCTTGATCAGGTTACCAGCAATTACAAGGCGTTGAATCTCAGAAGTTCCTTCATAAATTTCTGTAATTCGGGCATCGCGATAATGACGCTCTGCAGGCATATCACTAACATAACCCATTCCCCCCAAAATTTGAATTGACTGGTGGGCACAGAAAGTAGCCGCCTCAGATGCAGCTAACTTGGCCATAGCAGCTTCCTGAAACAAGGTAAAAAGTGGGATTAGGAGTTCATGCATGTCTAGTCACTTCTTTAAAGTGTGTGGTACTGCAAAAGCAAAATACCTTGGTGAATGGCTTATTGTTATCTTTCAGAAAAGCAGCTCGCCATGTAAGGAGACGTGCAGATTCAAGTTGGAGGGCCATATCAGCAAGTTTGAACTGAAGAGGGGAAAAAACAACTCAATAAGAAAAATGTTTACTGGAGTCAAAATGAATTTTACCATAAGGCAACATAAGTTCAAACCTGAATAGCCTGCAATTTTGTAAGAGGTGCACCAAATGCTTCACGTTTTGTAGCATAATCTACAGCTACATCTAGTGAGGCTTGTGCAATACCCAAAGCTTGAGCAGCAATACCAATTCTTCCAGAGTCTAAACAAAAATTATGTGTCATTGTGTGCAATATGAAAATAAGCCAAATAAGTTGCTTCTTTAGATTACATACCAAGAGTCATCATTGCTATCTTGAAACCCATTCCTGGTTTCCCTAACATGCTATCTTTAGGCACTTGACAATCTTCAAAGATCAGGGAGCAAGTTGATGATGCACGAATACCCAATTTATCCTCTTTTTTACCTAAAGATAAGCCTGGGCAAAAATAT